TGAGTTACAACTTATCCAAGTATCAAAGTGAATTTATGCTCTTGAGTTCTTCCATATTGTCTTTAATATGCAAAATTGTTTACCCTCCCATATGGGTTTTTCGTATGTATCAATTGTCCCTTTTAGAAATCTTCCACGAGCTATCATTATTTCCCTGCTAACTGTAACTGTGATTTATCTCTTGGTCAATGTCGCGTATCTCGCTGTTCTTTCTCCTTTTGAGATGCTTTCTTCCACCGCGGTTGCTCTGGTTAGTAATTGTATTCACAAATCGACTATATATTTACTTTGCCTTTCTTTTCATATTTATATTCAGGTAGAATGAATCCATTTTTCATTTTTAATCATCAAGTCTATATCCACGATTGATCATTAAAGTGATTTACATTGTTTGAACAAGTGATTTATTCCACATGATGGAAACGTTAAAACTGGCTTGAGGAATCTACTATTTGTGGCTATAAAAGATCTATATTACCATGAATAAGCTCTACTACACATCAAAATACTTAGTAAGACCCATTATAAGTCTACACCCGCTGCATAGTCTTGCTAACCATATTTTGATCCATTTTTACTAAACGTTCTTTGTACTGTTAAATCAAACAGGTTCTACTCAGTTAAATGCTTTGATCTTTTCTATATATTTACGGTTCGCTGCTACATTTTACTACAGATAAATATTTGCTTTTGAATCTCTACTCAGAATGGACAGATTTGTTTTGATATGGTTTAACTAAAACCATGGCCTCAAAGTTTTCGTGACTACATGCCACATGATCTAATTTTCTTACAGAGTCCAGAATGTTTTACGTATTCGGACAAAATTTTTATTTATTTCCAGTATCTAATAGGAATTCATATGAGTACACAGACTCACTTTGCTTCGTTTTATTTTATCCTCGTTTATGGAATATCCAAACTAGATTAGTTTATATGACTATCTGGGTGCCATGAAATTTAATATCGGCTGTAGGTAAATTTTTCATTAACCGTCTTAAAATAAAAAAATATACGAATTATAAATATACTAGACATTTGGCCTTGGAGTCTTAGGGCTAGCTCATGACCATGTTCTTGATCCATTACTTTATCTCCAATAAATGGCAATCGGCTTGCCTGTTGATCAACACATGGGTACTAAAAATCAATGCTATATATGATATTATGCTCCCTTGAACTCGGAGAGTCTGAACCTTGTCCCATGCCAAATGTAGA